TGCGCGCTGTGGCGACAGGTGTCCGGCGGAGCCCAGTGTGGCCCGACCTCCTGTCCCGGTGGTTGCCCAGGCGTGGCTCTGCGGGCGTTTTTCACGGGTCTCCGTCCGGTTTATGTTATTAAAAAGATAAATAAATAAGACGAACGGTCATTTTACTGCTTCGGCTGCTTGGGCTGTTCGGTGGAAGAGGCCGGTGAAGAGCCCGTCGGGCACATCAGCCCGGCCGCAGAGTGGGTTCGAGGTGCCAGCTGTTGTGTTGGTGCTGCCCTGCCTTCTTGGCGGGAGCGAAGTCAGTTTGGAAATGATTTTTAACGGTTTAGAGTCGTTGACACGATATAGTAGCTCTTTGCAAAAAAAAATGAAAAAAAGGGGGCTATAGAGGGAGTTTGTTGCATGAGCTGTCATTTCTTTTTTCTGAGCAAAATTGATTGCAAGTTGCAGAAGGTGACACATCTGCCCTTGCTGAAGTGGCTGCTGCCTGGTAATTTAACGGCTGAGTAACCTGAAATAAAGTTTATTTATACACGTCCTCTACGGGTATCGTGCCTAAGCTCTTCCCAGTGTAGTTTCTCTCCTGTTCTCATGGGCTGACTTTGGGTTTTGGATGTGACGGGTCCTAGCAGGCAGCTATTTGCTGTGGCTGAGTATGAACAAGCTGAGAAGTGGTTCTAAAAGGATAAATGTTGCTGGTCAGCAACATGTTTATGGGAAGGGTGGGCAGTGGGGTTAGTCCAGCCTGCAGAGACATATTAAGACTGCAGACACTTGATTTGTGAACACTTTTAGCTTGCATATTTTCACTGCACGGCATAAGGTTGATTCTTAGGTTTACCTCGTCTTTTTGAATGATCTTTTGTGAACTAAAACACAGGGCCTTACAGGGGCTACAGACTAGAAGTTAAAATGTTCTGCTGTCTGTGCAGTAGCAGCTTTTTTGAAGGCAAGCACTTTTCTTAGGAACCTGCAGTAGTAGATCACTCTTGTCTAGAAGGGTTTACAGGCATACCAAGTAACAGACCACACCTGCAAGCTGGAGCGTAGAAGGTTTCACAAAAGCATGAGGAAAAACTTTTTCACTGTGAGGGCGACGGAGCCCTGGCACAGGCTGCCCAGTGAGGTTGTGGAGTCTCCTTCTCTGGAAACTTTCAAAACCCACCTGGACGTGTTCCTGTGTGGCTGCCCTAGGGGATCCTGCTCTGGCAGGGGGGCTGGACTAGATGATCTTTCGAGGTCCCTTCCAACCCCTAACATTCTGTGTGATTCTGTGTGTAGGAAGTCAGTGATAGTTCTTCCCCAGGGAAGAAAATGAAAAATTGGAGCTCACGTTGTCTGCATATTTTCAAATATGTTAGAATATTTGCATGTGTCAGGCTTCATCAAAGATACAAGGAACGTGCAGCAAAGAGGAATACTGTAATTGCAAAAAAGTTCAGCATTTAATTGGAATAAACCCAATTCTTTTTCATAAAACCTCTGTGCTATTAATTAAAGTGCAAGTCCTAATGTTTCTTGATACTTAAGTTTCCCATCTTCTTCTTCTTCTTCTCCGTGGTGCTTTTGATTTAAGATTTTAAATCATTTGGATTTTATAATTCACACTGTGATGTTGCCTATATAACAGTTAAACTTGGTTCATGATAAAGTAAAATTACTTTAAAAAATGTCAAACCAAGTTAATTCACCTCAAGGGACATCTTGGCCATAGAAATAATTTACTGTTTAGCAATGAACAAGTAAACTCAAAACCTACTTTCTAATTTACTGTCTTTCTTTGCTAGGTCACTTTTCCATGTAAGAAAAATTACGGACTACAAATATGGGAAAGAAACGCATCAAAGGCAAAACTGCACAGTCTGATGAGTCTCCGGATACGCTGGGTATGTTTCCTCAGAGAAGTCTGTAGGCCTAATGTTTGTTTTGACCTCAAAGAGGGCTTGAAAACTCATTAATATTAGAAGGTTTTTGCACTAGTCACTGGCTTTGAAGTCTCATTTACAAAGTACGGGTTTGTATAATTGAAACTGAAGTCTGCCATGAAGCTTTAGTGTTGCTACTTTTCTAAATAATAATACTGACTTGAAAGCTAGAATTATTTTCTGGTTTTTAAGAAATTCAGACACGCAATTTTTTACTGATACACAGATCATATCAAATCGTATAAAATTCCTCAGAATATGAAGGGTTTGTATAGTCAGCTGCTAGGTTTGTCATGATAGATTTAAATAGCATTTTCCTAATGAAGATTCTGTTGCAGAACAGTCTTGCTTCAGTAGTAAAGTTTGTGATTAAAATATTTATGTGAAATCATTTGTCTTTACACTAGCAATTAGCTTAATACTGGCCCTGTGTACCTCAGCTCTCTAGTCCTTGTGCTTTTTGATTAAAACCTCTTTCTCTTCTCACCTTCTGTTCCTAATAGTTCCTAATCCCAGATAGTTAATGTTATCCTTCCAGCTGTTCTGGATCTCACCCGTGTGTTGAAATTGTATTTATTATCTTCTTCACCCTGGTTATTCCAGCTCTTGTTTTCGCTTGTGCTGTGTAGCATTCTTTTCTACCATCTTGTCTACCAGGTCACAGACCATGTCCTGCCCATCTTTACTGGTGATCCCAACTGGGGAAACAAGTTGAGCCACGCTAACTGAACTAGGAGAGAGTGCACTTACAGTTTTAGCCAGGTGGCCTGGTGCGATGGCCTGTTTATTTTAAATCCAAGTCTATTCTACTTGGGTTTCCTGGTTGTCCTGGTCTTGTGGCAGCTTCTGTCTCCTATGGCTTTTTACCTTCTTTTCTTGGGGATTTTTCAGTGGAAGGGTTTTTTGTGTGTTTTTTTTTTCCCTGTGGAGTTAAGATCAATGTCTGCTAGGACTGTTCCTCATCTTTCTTCAGCGAAGAAATCGGTTATGGTGCAAATGCTAATGGCATCTCACTTACTTGGCTAAAAATAGGCTAGCTTGCCCTGTCAAAGTCATGTAAAGCCACAAATGTAAACTAACGTTGATCATTGTGAATAACTCCACTGTAATAGTAGTGGCCAGTACAGAAAAGGGCTGTTTAAAAAAGACAATTTTGAAGTTGTAGATGATGCTTATATTTTTTTTTAAAGCCTCTGAGAATGCATCTAACTAGCATTTGTACTGTGGTAAAACCCTGTAATCTTGGGCAGAAACAGAACAGGTACAAAACTTACCACTAGTTTCAGCTCATGCCAAAAAAAGTTTGCTCTCTTGAGGCTATAATCTTGCCTATGGTCTTCAACAAAGATAGATTCAGAGCTGTTATGCTATCTGAGCAATAAAAATAGCTCTGTAGCAGAGGATGTGAGGCAGTTGAATTGTGTAAAGATCTGTGTAATTCTTCTCATAAAAGCTGATTTTTATTTTTTTTTACGTATGAAGCATGTGCAGAATTTTTCTTTTAGCATGGACTTGTTTGCTTTCTGCTTTTTTAATTTTGAGATAACTCTTTGTACTGTCAGTTATTTGACCCTGTATTTGCAAGTTCAGACATTTGTAAATGCAAGTAGTGAAGAAGGAGGCCCGTTAGCTCAGTCGGTTGGAGCGTGGTGCTGATAACACCAAGGTCGCGGATTTGATCCCTGTTCGGTCCCCATGTGTTGCCTGATGTAGTTGAGAGGCGTCCCTGCCCATGACAGGGAGGTTGGATTAAATTAAGGTCCCTTCCACCCTAGGCCATCCTATGATTCTATGAATTGTGGGCTGATCATACTAAATGTCTTGGAAGCCTACACTGGGGGGGAAAAAAAAAGGAAAAACATCAAAATACGTTCTTCATGTTTTATTTGGAAGAACTTGAATCAGTTTGCATGTACACTGTTAGTCAGTAGCAATTTCTCTCTATGTGACTAAGGCTTACAGACAGCTTTTCTTTGTCCAAGTGATGGTGTAACCAACGATCTTAAAAAATAAACAAAAAGAAATAAGACTTACAGACAGCTTTTCTTTGTCCAAGTGATGGCGTAACCAACAATCTTAAAAAATAAACAAAAAGAAATAAGATAGTTAAATTCCTGAGAGTAGCTCGTAGCAACAGATGTCCGTTCTTGGTGTAACCATTCTTGGAGTTTGGCTAACTAGGTTTCGTTCACACCAGGCCCAGAAGATGCAGCTCTGAGTAGGGCGTAACATTGTAGTGCGAAGTGATAATGGTGTAGGTAGGATGACTCTGCCATTCTTTCTGTCACAGTCTGCTGCATTAATTTCACTGAGGCAGCTCAGCTTTATTTTTTTTCTTTTTCTGTAATTCAGTAGTTTAATATGGATCAACAGTATTCCCGGGGTTTCTTTGACTCTAGGAAGGCTGTCCCAGTTTCTAGATTGCTACCCATGTCTTTGGTGCTTGCATTTGTTATGATGCCTACATCTTTCTTGTGCTGTTTATTTTGTAGAGCCTGTGTGCAAGCATATTCGTAAAGGACTGGAACAAGGCCATCTGAAAAAGGCCCTGCTGAATGTGGAATGGCATGTTTGTCAGGACTGCAAAGCAGACAATAAGACACAAGAGAAATCTGAGGGAGAGACTGGTGAAAGCCCTTCAATTTGGTTATGTCTAAAATGTGGCCATAGGGTATATCTTGTTTTGTTGTTAATTTCTCTTAATATCTTTCAGTGTCTCATAATGGAACAAGAGAGCTTTTCCACTAAACTTTTACATTCTCTCTTTTTTTTTTCTTTTAAAGGTGGTGTTACATAAATGATTTTATATACTGTAGTGCAATTGGAAAAATGTCTGCTCTGAACTGCAGATGAAGTACTTAAATGCCTTAGTGCCAAGCTTCTAGCAGGCTTAAGGCTACACCACCATCTTGAGGACTTGTTTTCCTAGAAAGTCCACATTATTTTGCTAAGAAGATAAAAAAATTGTGTTCATACTCTGAATTTATGATTTTTACAATACGAACTTATGCTTACATTAGTTTATTAAACTTAGGACTCTGCATGCTGGTGAGGTTTTTGTTGTGTTTCATTCTTCAAACTGGAATTTGTAAATTAGATACACAGTCTCTGAGCAACTTTATAGTTATTCTGCACCCAGTACCTTTCTTTCTGCAGAAATAAGTGTGAAATAAAGACCTATGTGTTCATCCTAATTAGTCTAACATAAGTAAACTGTTTTCATTTTAATACTTTGTTTATACTCTTAACTCTCTATATATTTCATTGATGGTCAACTGGAATTTTTTACATTTCTGGTTCTCAATGTTACAGGGTTGTGACAGAAATTCTCAAGAGCAGCATGCTTTAAAGCACTACACAACGCCAAGATCAGATCCCCATTGTTTGGTTCTCAGCTTGGACAACTGGAGTGTGTGGTGAGTTTGTCAGGCAACAGTTAGAAGACATAGCTAGAGGGCAACAGAGGCTGGGTTATAATTTGTGTTATCTTTTCTTTGTGAGTTCTAGGATTTATCTCTGGACCTACATAAAGCATTTCTACACACAAAAATCCCAGCTGTCTTTCCTGAGACTCTCTGTTGGACCTACTTATATTTTTCTCCCACTGGTCAGATGGCCATCACTGAAAAAACTTCATTCAGTCCCTTGATTCCCTTGATGTTACATACAAAACTTTTCACAGATGAAAAGTTATGATAGTTCATGGAAGGAACTATCATTTGTTATTCCAGGAGTGAGAATGCGTATTTTTATAACTAATCAGACATACAATAAATACATACTCAGGGATCCAAAAGTTCAGCCAATTTTTTTGAGGAGATATGGAAATTAACAGCTAATTCCAAAAATCTTAGAGATTTAAGGAAGCACTTTGCTGCAGACTTCTGCTGCTTTTAATATCAGAAAATAGTCTGACTTACGATAATCCTGCAATCTGCTAAATGTATTTGTGCCTACAAACTGCAGGTGGTGTGTTTTGAGGTGCAGAAGTATTTGCATTGTCTTCAATACCTTTTGTCACCTCTTCAAAGAGCTGGTTGGGCAGAACTACAAAATCAGCGCACACAGCTCTCCTTCAGCTGTATGTGTTCTGACACAATTTTAGTCTTACTTGAGCCTTTATCACTGCAGCTTCTTTCACAATTTCATTTAAAACAGATTAGTGGCCTAACCATGCACTTCTTTGCTCATAAAGAGACAAACAGGTTTGTAACAGCAATGGACGAGTAAATAACAGTATGCAGGAGTAACAGAGGACATTGATTTATGTCTTATCCAGTTTAAATTTGGTCAAGTACTTGCTTGGTTAGAATACCCAGAATATTTTTCCATGCCATAGCATTCGTATGTCATTTTCTTAGGGCCTGATATCTTTCTTTCTTGATTTTTGGTAAAATTTTCTCTGCATTTATTTTTCTTGCAACAAGGTTTCTTAGCACATCTTTTAAGAGTCTAATTTATATTTGTACATTTCAAGCTCCAGTCACTAAAGTCACTTAAAGATGACTTTTTAAACTTTTATTTTCTTGATCAGAAATAGATCGAAATTTTCTAAGTTTTTGTAACTTTGTGTAATGAATTTCATCAAACAAGCAAATAGTTTATGATTTTTAAACAAGAGAAAAAATAGGATTAACTGTTTTTCTTTGGGGGGGTGGGGTGGAGACAGGTGCTACATATGCGATAATGAAGTTCCATATAATTCCTCAAACCGATTGGGCCAGACTGTGGAATATGTTAGAAAACAAGTTTGTCTTGACTCAGCACATGCAGGTAAGTAGTTACGGTATATATACAGTACATCAGAAAGTCCCTTAAATGTAGGAGACAGTACTGTAAATCTGGAATGGGCACAAAATTAGATTTAACATTTAGAGCACCTTACAGCAAAGTAAAATGCCTAAGTAGACTAACTGGACTAGGATTTTTTGCTCATTGTCCCCTAAACTTACAGATGAGAAATACAGGAATAGGAGGAAAAAAAATGCAGTTTTACGATGACTTTTTTTTAAATGTGGTGTTCAGTTGTTCTGTGAGGAGTTGACGTTCAGTACTTAGAAGTGCTGTGTTTATTTGTCAGTATTGCTCAGACTGTCTTTAGATGTAAGGAAAATTGTCATTGCTTACAGATAGTTTGATTTGATATTTTAAAAGTACTTTTGTAGGTATTTGTGAATGTATCAGATGGAATGACTAAGTCTCCACCTGTTACAGGACATTTCCTAATGGAAGGAATATACAAGAGGATTTTTCTTCTGGGTCTACATTTAGTATAGGTAGCTTCAGCGTGGTCAGCCTGCAGTCTGTCTGCAAAACTTGGCTGTTTTAAAAGGAGACAAACCCAGCAAAACCCCCTGATTTCCACAATGGCAAAACTGTTTCTGTACAAGGCATTTCCACTAGAAAACCTGGCAGAATCTGCATATCAAAATAAATGCTACAAGTCATGGCTGTCCAAAATTCCAACACCATTCTACACTTGGGTGACATCTTGCCCCTTTGGGAATTAGATCCCAACCATCCAGCAGTGCCAAGTGGCTGTCTCAAAGTATTTGTTCAGGAAGCAGCTGAGGTTTTCCCACAGGCATCAGAATCTTTGAGTTGTTTTGGTCAGCCTTTCCCAGATACGTAGTTTCTCTACATCTACTATTTGAACTTCATATTGGTTGCCAAAACTTCTTCAAGTTTGAACTGGGAAACAAATCAATACCAGGGTGCAGTTGTTGTCTGTCTCAGGTGTTCCATCTGTTGTTGTCCATCCGTCTGTTTCTTGTCCATCTGCAAAGATTGTATTGCCCGTTTTCTTTACTTTTCCTGAGCTGGCATTACTTTATTTGAAAGCTAATCTTGGCTCACAGCCCTCTTTATTAGAAACCTAGTCAATAGTAGGCTACCAAACTGGTAGAACCAGTGTAGGTGTTAGCCTGAAAATTACCTTAAATTCCCTTATGGTTTTATCGAGCAAGTCATTGAAGTTTTGAGCTATACACCAAAGTGATTCTAGGGAAAATATCTTTAGCATGTCTTAAAGAATATGAACCTTACGGTTTGATCTGTTTAGCTTCATGAAATGAACATGACAATGCTTCGACAGTAGAAGGTCGATGCATTTCATTTCAGACAATAGTGTCATGTCAAAAGGGATATTATCTCAGATACCATCTTGCTGGATGTTTTATAAAGCCCTAACGTAGGTGATTTTGTGGAATGAAATTTCAGATAACAAAAGCAGAGTTTCGGAGGCTGTTGGCATGAATGGCTTGTAGGCTAAGTGGCAAGTTTAATTTGCTTGCTGATCTGAAATAGCATTTCAGGGCGGGTTGTTTCATAGTTTTTGTTTGTTGGCTGTTTTGTTTTGTTTGTTTTTTAACTCTTGTTACCAAAACAGTTTAAGAACCTAAACCAGTAGTGTTACATTTCTACAATTACAGAATTAATGATAAAATGTTTAAGTTTTAAATATAGATTGCTGCTGCCTATAATAACCTTTTCCTATCCCATTCCATTACTGAGTTAATATGTGGGCTTTTTTTTTTATTATTTCAGTAGAAAAACAAGAAGTGAACAAAGAATTTGAAAATAAAAAAGTAGAAAAAGACAGCAAGAATGAGCAAGAAAAAGAAGTCTCACATAAAGAAGAGAATTCTCTTTCAAGTACTAACTCGGAAGTGACTGTGAAAGGACTTAGTAACTTGGGGAATACATGTTTTTTTAATGCAGTGATGCAGGTACAGTAGTTATTTCTACTCTTAAAAAATATTGAATAGCAAAAGAAAAACAAAAAAAAACCCCAGCTCAGACCACAACAACTGCAGTGTTTTACAATGACACAATTAGAATGTGCTTTTTCTCTGCCAAGAATGATGGATTCTTTCTAAAAATAGTGTGTTGGCCCAGAGAAATATGATGAAATTAAACTGCAGGTTCAGACTTGCTCTAAAGAAAAATATAGCAAACTGCTTTGTCTTTGAGGGACAACATCTTTCACTGATGTAGATTAAACATACCAGCTAGTAAAAAATAAAAATAAGATACTTTGGCACATAACCCTTGCTGACTTCTTAGAATATTAGAGATTAATAACCAAAGACCATAGATGTTCACTGAAACAGAAATGTCTCTCTCAGCAACAGGAAAGCAAGTAAAACTAAATATTAGGAGGATGAGCATATTGCATTGCCATCCTGTGTGTCTTGCTCAGCTAAGAAGTGTTTGGGTAGAATAAACTTGCTGTTTCATGTGTATTAAAACTCACATGTAATCTTGTGTTCTGAAGCTCTTGATGCTGAAGCTTCACTCAAACTTGCTGGTTTTAGTAAATGGTTTGATTTTTATTATTTTTAAAAAAAAAATTTTAAATCAAGCAAATATGCACACTACATCTTGCCTTTTGATTTTAGAATCAGACGTTAGTAAACAGATTGCCAGAAGATCAGTTTGTAAAAGAATAGTACTTTTAGGCTTTCTACAATCTCTGGTATATATAGAGAGGACATTTGGAAGTCCAGTTAGCTATATGGAACGTACCCTTAACTGTTAAACACTGTTAGAATTTCCAGAGCGGTAGTTACTCCCTACGTCTGTGTTTGGCAGAAATAAATTGCTGCTGATCTGATTGCTACAAATTCCATGACCAGTGGAACTTGGCTGCCCTTTGTCTTTTTCCCCAGTTATCAATCTTTTTCTTTCTGTTATGTTCTGCAGAATTTATCACAAACTCCCATCCTGAGAGAGCTGCTTAAAGAAGCTAAAATGCCTGACACAACGATTAAAATTGAGTCACCTGAGTTATCCATGGTATCTATGTTTTGATCTCCATAGTGTTTATTCTCACCCTTCCAGTCTGTTAAAGAAACAAGCAACGGTCATCTCTGGATTTTAAAGCTTTTTCAGCTAAATGCTGACAAAATTAAGATGCAAAGTCAGTGAGAACTTCACCATTGACTTCCATAAAGCTGCCTCTGAAGTCAGCAGAGGTCTTTGATTCAAAGTGAAAGAGCCATGATTCAGTGCTCTAACTATTAGTTATCATCAAAGGAATACTTATGCTATGATTATGTTATTTACAGGATGAAAACATGTAATTTTTGCTGTAGTGTTACTTGTCTAAATGCCAAATAGGAAATTAGAGGATGTCTGCAGCAACCTTAAATAATGCACCTGTCATTACAGTTGGGGATTTGAATGGGAAAGAAGAATTATGCAGTTTAAGAAAATGAGGTTTTTTTCTTTCCGAATAAAAGCAAGAAATCCAGAGTTGCAACTAAGCTATAAATAATTAATAGTTCCTAACCCAGTGTTTTCTTATCGTATCATGAGAAACCATGTGTTGAAATATTTTGTTTGTTTTGGTCAGATGAAGTTATGCCATTTTGGAATTTTGTATATTCTACTTGATAGGAAAGATTAGGAAAAAGATCAGGAAAAACTGACTTCAGAAGGATCTGTCACCAAATTAAGGCAGAACAACTTTGTTGCTTTTGTTTAAAACAGGAACCTCAGCTGATAAAACTAGATCAACCAGGTCCTTTGACATTAGCTATGTACCAGTTCCTGACAGAAATGCAAGAGACAAAAAAAGGGGTAGTCACTCCTAAGGAACTTTTTGCTCAGGTTTGTAAAAAGTGAGTATCTGTCCAATTGCATGTCATAGCGAGTATGAAAAAAGTTTGTTATTTGTTTAAAAAGTAGGTAATTTTTCTCCCTTTTTGTCCTTGAGTTCACATCACGTTATTTAGTTGTATTTAATGAGTTTCGAAAGAAGAGAATAAAGAGCAAAATATAAACAAATAGAAGAAAAATGAAAGGTGTTCAGTGACATATCCTGATTAGCTAGCTTTGTATTTTTAGGAAATACCATATATGGACACTTACTGCTTTTATATACATACATGCCCAAGACTTCGTCCTTTTGTGTCTGGTAGGAGTTGCTTTTACTTTGTCTCTAAGCTCAGTTATACATTTCAATTATTGTTTCATTTAACAGAGCAATACGCTTTAAAGGTTACCAGCAACAAGACAGCCACGAATTGCTTCGTTACTTACTTGATGGAATGAGAGCAGAAGAAATCCAAGTGAGTGCTGCTTTCGTAGTTGTGCATACCTTTCTTGATACCCCAGGCTGAGACTTTCTCCTCTGCTGAGGAGAGAAAGAATATTTTTTTCTGACATAAGTCAACCTGCCTGGGGTGGTTTGTGCTGCCTGTTGCACGTACTTGAAGCAGATTAATAATTGAGCTGTAGAACCAGGCAGCTTAAGCAGTGGGGTTGCAGAGGAGCAGCCACGGCTATTGCTAATTTTTTTTAACAAAACAATTCAAAGTTTGTTTGTGGCTATCCCTCTTACACATATTGCACGCATTGTATATGTTTCTAAGGTAATTATATTTTCAGCCTTTTCTGAAAGTAGTGTGCTGGTCATTCTCCATGCTTTTCTGTTAAAAGCAAGTAAAAAGGTTTGGTTTTGCTTGTTCTAAAGGTTTTTGGTTAATTCAACACTTCTAATATAAATGTCCATTGTTCTTTGGAATTAGATTGACTTGTCCAAAACTTTTACAGGAAAAGTGGGTTTGGAGTATGTGTAGTCACCGTAAAGAATGTCCTTTTGTCTTAATTTCTGAAATGTCCAAAATCTCACTTATGGAAATTTTTAATATTTTTTTTTTTAATTCCCCCAGTTTTAGTTTGAGCAAGTATTTCATTCTTAGACTGTTTTTCATACATGCTAATTGTAACATTATGGTTGCAAGCTTGTTTCTTGCTTGGTTATATTTTTAATATCCAAAGAAACTATTTTGTGCATCTGCAGGCATTTGTGGTGTTTGTATTGATTCTCTTAATTGGTGAAGAGTAAATGTTTTCCTGGATCTGAAACATTTTCTAAAACAAACTAACCGAATTAGTTTACTGAATTTTACAGTGTCTGTTTGTTTTGAAAATTTCAGCAAGTAAGTGTTGGAATACTGAAGGCATTGACTGACTCTAACAAACAAAATGAAGAAGAACTTAAAAAGAAAATTAAAGGTAAAATACATTTTGCTGAAGTCATTATTTAAAATCTTCTGTTTCACTGAAGTACCCAAAGTAATGCTAATAGTAATAAGTAAAAGACCCATGTCTAATTGTAAAACTATTCTATCTCTTGAATTGTGTCTATCTAGAATTTAAGGCTCCATAGTGTTAGTCTATTTGTATAAATGTCTTGCTGAACTTGGTGGCATTTCCTTCTTAACAGTGTAAGAGAGAGTTGAATCTATGGACTTTATACATCAAAATATGTTTGGGTAGTGTTTAATCATTCAAATGCTATGTAAGAAATTAAATTATTAGAACAATGAATGTAATGATTTATTCAGTCCTAATAGTCCGTTGTCACTTAGCAATGGTACAATAAACAGTGAACAAAAGAATTTTTAAACTTTTCAGCATGACTTAGATTAGAAGATGAAGAGCAATTTAGATTGAGACTATGTGCTACACTGACAATATAACTTGAGGAAAAATGGTTTTGTTCGTAGGGCACCTGTACAGAGAAAAGGTGGTGCTTTTTTTTATTTTATGTTCAGTAAGTCCTGAGAGAAAACAGGAATTCTTACTGGGATGCAATACTTCTGAGAAAACAGGGAAATGTGTTTGAGCTGAGAAAGTGGTAAAGCTGTTGGTTCAGTCAAGCTGTCTCCTGCAAATATATTTTTGCCCCCATTCCTTTGATATACGAAAGAATCTTAATTTAAGAATTTTACTGTACTTCTTGAGGAAAGAGAAGAGGTCAACACGTGCCATCATACCTCTTCCATACTGTATTCTCTTCTTTTTATTTGGTACGCCATAACTAAATTGGTTGCCAGTATCATATTTTTAATATTATTAACTTTACTGTATACTTTGTCAATTCTCAGAATATGAAAAGAAAAAGGGAATACAGAGTTTTGTAGATCGAATCTTTGGTGGAGAATTAACCAGTACGATTATGTGTGAGGAATGCAGAACCGTAAGTAAACTGCCTGCTCTGAATAGCCTAGAGTATAATTTTATGTAATCTGCAGGAGAACCCCCAAAGTCACTACATGTAGAAATCAGTGAAACTGGAGAGGTTTGCGTCAGTTAATACGCTTCTAAGAGTTAACTAGCTGCATGCTTTTCAAAGAGGGGCATGATTTGGCTGAAATGTTTCTTCCCATATATTATAAAGCTGATCTTTCAGTTCCTTTCAGATTCCTTCCAGAAAAGAAGAGGTCAGCAACAGCAAGCTGCCTCCACCAAGAGAATTCACTCTTGAATTCTTAGTAAACACCTTCCAGTGGTACAAACTGTAAAGTGGATGAGTTGTTCTGCTACCTGCAGTATGCAGCCAGGGGCCGTTGGCTTTTTCATCTGATGATTAAGTCTTTCCTTTTGACACACTAGAATGACCGTGGGATTGCCAGGGAAACGGTTAAGCTGGAAAGCACTGTTGAGATAATGTATCCTGAGAATGAAGTAATTAAGGGTGGTCTAGATGGATATAATGACAGGTTGCAGATATCAGTCTCCTAGGCCCTGAGTTGGGTTCTCACATTCCTAGGCCACTAGGAAACTGAAGTTTGTAGAAGAATTTCTTACTTATTTCTTTGTAGCATGACTGCTGGATTTTGGTTATGGATAGCTGTTTGTGAAGGTATATTAACTGGTTTTTACGTTTGTGCACACAAGTGAAAGCAAGCATTGAATGCAAATGAGGCTACATACAAATAAGCCAATTGACAGCAAGCCAGCCACTTTCAAACAAAATTAAATTGGACTGTTAAATATTCATTTAAAGGTATCCTTGGTCCATGAGTCTTTCCTTGATTTGTCACTTCCCGTACTAGATGATCAGGTAAGAAATTGTGCGTGCTTGCATTATGGCTTCGTTTTTGTTTGCTTATATGAAAATGCCTTTATTATATAATGATTAGGGAATTAATTTGCATCTTTCTAAATGTCTCTTTTGAAAGTTAAATTATAAATTTGCCCAGAAGGATAGAGAATAAGATTTTCATGAGAGTCATTCCTGCAAGCTGTGGCTCAAACTGTCTCTGGAAAATCACTGATAGTGTGCTGGTGATCTTGCTGCTTTGTCAGTTAATGTTTCTAATGTAGAGATTATTTTAGGGCATTATCTAATACGTTCCAGTGTTGTCTCACTGCTGTAGATTATCAAGGTGCAAAGAACAATGTTCCCCAATTCATTTTCACTGTTTTGAAACTGAACTAAATTGAATGACAGTGATGGGTTCCTAATGGTTGCTTAAATGCGCTTTTTTTCATCCATTTTTCTGCACCGAGTGCAAAAAAAACTTATAGTATTCAGGTTATAGAATAAAGTTAAGAAACACTGTAGAATAGTTACTTGATCAGTGTTGTATTTGATCGACCTCTAGGCACTCAGAATACTTATTTCACTTTGTGCTTCATATTGATAATCTATATATATAATATTTCAGATTTGTTACATAGCACTACTTACACAAAAGCTAATGAGTAAATATTGAAATGAAGCCCCTTCAGCCAAAGGGATCATTTGTTTTCTGCAACAAGCAAATTTCATTTCAGCAGAAGCAAACAAGCTCTGTGGCAGGCAGTTCAACTGAAAATGTCTCCACTTGTGTAAAATATTAATCTTGTTAAATGCACATCTATTAGAGCCAAAGAGCATGCTGCCCTTTTAAGGGTGCAGAATTTGACTCTTGGTAACCTGATTTTTTCATACTCTTTCGTTCTGCAAGTCATTGTTTCACGTGGATTCTCTCTGGAATGAGACACCTCTTTCGTAAACATTAAGGTAGCATAAGTGAGTTAATTGTATGATACAGTCACTAAAATATTATATCTTGAGCTGAAAGCTCAGAAAATATATCAGCCCTACAGCTTTTCTTTGGAATGCTATTTGGTTTTTCAGGACAGTATCATCTCTCCTTCTTGGTTGTTCTGTGGCTTTTTGGTTTTTGTAGAAAGCAAAAATTACAAATGAGAGAAACATAAAAAAAGCCAAAGAAAAGGAATCTGAAGATGAAGAGGACAAAAACGACTGTTATCTTAAGCAGAGAGATGAGCCCCCTGGTGCAAGTAAGCACCTTCAGAAAAAAGCAAAGAAACAGGCCAAGAAACAAGCCAAGGTTGGTTTTGATAAGTATTTCACTTTTATTAATGAAGCGCTTGCAACTTCTGGTAAAACAAATTATTTTTGTTTTGCTGGTTTAGATGAAGAAGGCGACAGCTTAGAGTTTCTCCTCAAATGCCCAACAGTTATATATCTACATCTTTGCTATTAAGTTACATGTTCTGTTAAGAATTGCTGTGCTAAGAATATGCTAATATCCAGAAGAATGTGGAGTTTATGTTGCCTGTCTGAAGTAGCATTAATTTGTATCAGTCATTAATTGCAAGAACATTAACAAAACTTCAGGATACAGACATAAGAAAGAATGAGGAAGACATAAAGGGAATCATTAGTTGTGTTTTGAAGGTACTGTGTAACAAGGTGCAGTGGGAATTGTCTGAGTGAAGATAAATTCAGTATTGGTAGGAATTGATCACCCCTAATTAAATCATGGATTATTTTCCCCCCTGTGCCCTTTGCATCTATGGCATGCTATAAAACTTCTGATAAAGAAATGGTAAGAAATACTAAATAGCATTTAGACTAGCTCTGTTTTTTTGTATTCTTGTATCTTTTCTGTATCACAATTTGCAGAGCCAGCGTCGCCAGCAAAAACTTCAAGGAAAGGTGCTTCACTTGACGGATATTTGCGCAACTGAGCAGTCAGAAAAAAACGTCGAGTATGACCAAGAATCAGAGGCAGAAGTTAATTCTGAAACTCGTGATGTGAAGCAAGAAGAGGAATTGTCAAATGATTGCAAAGATCACTGCCTACCTCAAAAAGACTTGAGCATACAGGGAAGTAATAGAGAATCAGTTCAAAGCTTACATGAAAATACAGGAGATCCAGAACAAGAGTGTGTAGAAAGTGAGTCTCTTGTGGATCTTCCTATGGAAGGCTTAGATTCTCCTATGAAGCTTGTCAATGGCCTTGACAACCTATCTTTGAAAGTTGAGGATGATGAAAATGAAGATGAGGAAGAGCTCGCTACTGACTTTTCAAAATTACACTTGCATCCCAACTCTGAATCCGATATGAGTACTTTAGATGATGTTCAAACTGTTCCTGTCAAGACATGTGAAGTATCAACTGAAGATCCAGAAACAGCGTTTTGTACTCTTGCAAACAGGGAAGATTTGGACTTGGAAGAAGGTTCCATCCATCACTGTTTGTATCAATTTACCCGTAATGAAAAACTTACTGAGACCAATAAACTACTCTGTGATGTATGTACACAAAGACATTATGGACCAAAGCTTTTCAGAAGAGACAGACGAGGTAGGAG